ACGACGGCGCTGCTCATGGCGACGATCCGCTTGCCGGTCGGAGACTTGGACGCGCGGAGAAGCGTGAGGAACTCTTGCACGGCGTGGATGAGACCGAGCGCGTTCACCTTGAACTGAGGGCGCGACGTGAGGCTGGGTGCATGGAGCGAGGGTGTGAATAGCGCAGCTGCGTACAGCTCTGATGAAGTCCTCGTCCAGTTCGTCTATCGTGGCGCTGGGTCGCGGTTGATCAGAGGTGGCTGACAAGACGGCTTCGAGGTACTCACAAGGAGTCATAGTCTCTGCCGATGGTGTTGATATCTGTGAGCGCGGCATCGTGGATGAGACAATCAAGCTCTTCGTTATTGATATCGGAGATCTCCTTCGCCGCCCTCTGCTGTATCAATCAGCGTATGAACATTCAAAGTGCGACAATCAACTCGCCTGCAAAGAAGCGTAGTCCGTGATCTCTGCCTCCACGATGTGGATGTTGTTGAATTTGGAAGCGGAGTCTTGAAGAAACGTAGAAGACACTGCGCTTCGGACGACCGCGAAAACCACGTTTCCATAACGAGATGCCTGCAAGCGGAAGATACGGTGAGTGACATAGCCCACAAATATGAAGCGACTTACCAGTTGTCCTGGACATCCGATGGACGGTCTGCACCAAAACGGCATAATTCAGCGACGGTTCATCAAAACGGTGAGCCTGGCCTACCACCGTCCAACTTTACGTTCCCATAGTCACACCCAATATCCTTCCAGAGTTACTATAGGAAGAATATCTCAAGAAAATATGGAGCACACGATCTTGCTACTGCCTGTTGACAAAATTCTTGATGACTGTGTATGTCATTGTCGAAATTTCCTGGGATTATTTAAGCGCCTATTGATGCGGGACCAGACCCAACGGCCGTACTTACCACAAGGGCACAGGCAGGAGCAAACGACGGCCTAGCAAGGTCATAAGCTGGTGTATAGAAGTGTGTCACCAATCTCAGGTGGCGGACGGAGTTGGGAGTTGGGAGGAAGGTGTCGTGATATGGATTGTCTGAGCGATTGATGCTATCGCTCTTGTTCTCATACCACCACCATTGACATCCTCGCATCTCTTTCTCCTCTTCCTGCTCCGTCTCCTCTGCTTTGCTCAGGAACCCCTGCCGCTGCATCCTCGTACACACCACTTTGAGCAACTTATACCCTCTTGCCCTCCCCGCGGCACCGATCGCCGGCCTCACCTGGCGCCAGTCCATCATCACCGGCTCCATTGAAGTCGAGGAAGGCGTGTAGTGGAGGCTGGACGGAGTGACGAGAGGCGACATGGTGAATGCCCACCGGTATGTCAGACACGTAGCAGCTAGTACTTCCCGCAATACAAGCATCACTGTCCCCTTTCCCTCGTGCTGCGTAAAAATGGGTCTTTCATCCTCCTTGCCCGAGCACCTCCGACCGTTGATCAACTGCCTTACGGCTATGTTACTGTGGCATTCGATTCTGTTGGTTTCTCAAGCTCCTTCGGATGTCCTTCTCACGGGCATGGGAAGACAAGGACAGATTCTGTTACGAAAGGTGGGACGACAGTGCGCTGCTTTGACAGCTAGCAGTGAGCAAACGTCAACATCGACGGCACCCCGACGGCGTGGTTCTGCCGTCCCGGCGACCTCGGTCTCCCTCCATCACGGGGCACCTCCCACCTCATTCACCCGCGCGGGTGTGTCCACAAGCCAGTGGGCATCGTCCACGATCCGGGGCGGCGGCATGCGTGTGAGTCGACCGGGCTCGCTTGCTTCCTCATCCCGTGCTGATTGAATGACAGGTATCAGATGCTGCTCGAAGAGCTTCAGATGGTGCTGCCCATCTGACGCGACATTGACTGCGTCTTAAGCGGCCTCAAATAGCCAGCGGAGCCTTCGTCGACGCCAGGCTCATCCCCCCTGCCGTGGACATGATGGTCTCCTCCATGCTTGCTTCGGCGTTCTTCGCATGGACGGCTTCGAGCCTGGTTCTGGCGCAAACGCCAGTCCAGGTGACTCTCGGCGAGACGGAAGTGACAGGAATGTCTTTGAACTTTGGAGGACTTGGGGTGGATTTCTTCGGAGGTGCGTGTTATGCCTTGTGCATTGCACCCCAGTCCCTGATCCGCTCTTCTTTGAACAGGGCTTCCCTTTGCTCTGCCTCCACTTGGGAAGCTGCGGTTTGCGCCCCCTGTAGCAGTCGATGTCATCGACTCCCCGACCTTTGACGCCACAGGGTTTGGCCCAGCTTGCGCGCAGATGAACGTAAGTACGTTCAATTTTTCCCTGCGGAGTCATGTGCTGAGCAGGACCAACAGACGACCGTCACAGGTCCTTCTTCAGAAGACTGTCTGACGCTAAATGTCTTCCGACCTGCGGGTTTCGACGCTTCCGCGGCGCTCCCAGTGATGGTGTGGATCTACGGAGGAGGGTTCGCAGAGGGTCAAACGTCGATTTACAACGCGACGGAGATCATCGTCCAGAGCGTGATTCGTGTGAGCATTTCCTCTCTTCAACCCAACGCTCTGTTCCCTAATTTTACCCTAGGGCACACCCGTGGTCTATGTTAGCATCAACTACCGGGTGGGCCCGTTCGGATTCCCTCAGGGTGAAGAAGCCGCACGTCGCGGGGCTTTGAACCTTGGGTTGAAAGACCAGCTCGCGGGCTTGAAGTGGGTCCAAAATAACGTCCGTACCTTCGGCGGGGATCCGACCAAGGTCACCATCTTTGGACAAAGCGCGGGTGCGATCTCCATCGCCGACCTCTTCCTCCACTCCCACCTCGAGAAGTTCGTCCGCGGCGCGGTACGTCCCGCCTCTCCTGCCCTGCTACCATATGCTCTCAGGGTTGATCGTTCCCGCGCTTCATGTCGCCCACGTTGACAGATCTTCGAGTCGGGCTCACAAGGCACGCTCCCATTCTTCAACGCGACCCAGCGACAGCCGGCGTGGGACGCGCTCACCGCACTCCTCCCCACGTGCGCCGGCTTCGCACAGAACGACAAGTTCGCCTGCGCTCGCGAAGCGAGCACCGACGCGCTCTTGACGGCGTGGACCCAGTCCGCGGCAGAGTTGCCCGCTGTGTTCCTATGGGCGCCAGTCATCGACGGGCCAGATGGGCTGATTCCGGACCTGCCCTCACGCCTTCTCGCGGCCGGGAAGTTTTCCAAGATTCCGTTCATTGCTGGCACCAACTTGGATGACGGTAGGTTCTTCTGCTGCGTGTGGGGAGAGAGGGCGCTAAGACTTCCCGATTAGGCACCGACTTCACTCCACACACCTTGAACTCAACGACCGACTTGGAAGAGTTCCTCTTCGTTGCAAACTTGCCCTTCATCACGACACCTCCTGAGGCGTTCGAGGCAGATGTTGCAGAGCTCCTCGTTCTTTACCCCGACAATCCGGCTCTCGGCTCACCATTCGGGTCCGGCAACGACACGTTCGGTGCAGGCCTCGAATACAAGCGTGGTGCGGCGCTCCTGGGTGACGTCGCATTCCAGGAGCCCCGGAGGACATGGATCCAGACGGCCAGCGGGTTCGGAGTGCCGACGTTTGGGTATCTGTTCACGGACCAGAACGCGGCCCTTGCCAATCCGAGCTTGGGAGGTGAGTCCTCCGCCCGGCGGTTGATGGGCTTGACTGACCATGTTTCCAGTCGCTCACGCGACGGAGATCACCTACGTCTATGGTGAGGAGAAGCTCGTGAATCAGAACCTCAACGTTCGGCTCCTGAGTTCGGCCATGCTCGACTACTGGCTCTCGTTTGCCACAAGTCTGACGCCGAACGACGGCAAGGGCACCCCACGTTCGTGGTTCCTGTCTGATGGTCTCACGTGAACTAATTCTCTCTTTTAGGCACGACATGGCCACAATACAAGCCCGCTGCTCAGGTGCGCGACCCGGCCTTATCCCATTCGAAGTCATCTGACCCCATTCTTGCAGAACATCGTCCAGTTCGACACGACCGCGTTCGGGAACCTCTCCTTCGCGAACTTCGCGGTCGTTCCCGACACGTACCGCGTGGAGCAAATTGCATTCATCAGGTCCGTCGCTGGAGACCTCTCGCAGTAGGCGTTAGAGGAGAATGGATGATTAGAAGCTTGTAGTCCCTTGTCGGCACTTGATATCTCACGTCTCCCGTGTGACTTTGTGCACCTGCGCCGCGTTATGTGGGATCGAGAGCGGCAATGCTGATCGCGACGATGCTGTGCGAAGAAGAGGAAGGAACGTTTACATGGCGTTGAAGAGCCCGAGCGTATTCACCGTGAACTGGTCCACATGTACTTGCATGGTGTAAGTGCAAGGTGCGAGATAAGGTGCCTTTGTCGTGGAACCGTGGTTCGTAGGCTGACACAGCCCCATTACACCGCGGTGTTCTCCGGGGCGCTCGCCAGCTCGCCCTATTTGAAGCCCTGCGGAAAACTCAAGTTGGAGCGCATTCGTACAGTGCTTACTGCTCGCACTAGGTGGTCATGTTCGTGCCAACGGCCTCGTCCCATCTGCGTGCGATGTAAGCGGCCCGGGGTTGCCGCACTGCGCAGGCCGCGGCGGAGTCGCCTCCGGTTTTTTTTGTGGATGTAGCGTCGAGTTTAGATCTTTCATACGAAAATGGTCATGTTTTCGCGTTGCTGGTGGGTTGAAGCCGTGGAGCCTGTTCAAGTTCTCACAATATACTGTCCCACTGGTGTCCGCAGCGGTGACGTGGTACATCAGCAGTTCACACTGCGGGTATGAGGTGTAACCCATTAAATTACACACGAAAACTGAGATGTCTGCGACGTACCTTTCCTGCTGTATCGTCGCCGATGCAGTTTCCGGACTTCAGCTTCAACGTTCAACGTTCAATGTTGTTTCGGACGCTCTCGACCGTGAGATGATTACATCAGCACTCTGTCAGCCAAGGCAACCGCTTAAATACTAGCGCTGCCGCGGGGCAATCCTGCCCGCATCCACGTTCCGTTTATCATGTCGCTCACCCCCTCAGCATCATCGTCTCAAGTCCTCGACATGAGCGAGTCTTTGTCCAGAAAACGCCCTCGCACGGCTTCCACCTCGAACGACCCCGTCGCCTGTGGCAACAACTCGGAGCCGACCGCCTGCGAACAGGTACAAGCCGCCACCCGCGATAAAGACTACTGGTTCGAGGACGGGACGATCATTCTCGTCTCCCAAGGCTTCGCCTTCCGCGTGTACCGAGGCATGCTCGCCGAACACTCCTCTGTCTTCCGGAGCATGCTCGACATCGGTCAAGGGACGCCCACCGCGGCTGACACCGTCGACGGCTGCCCCGTCGTCACCTTGTACGACTCTCCGCGCGACCTTCGAGGCCTCTTCAGGTTGATTTACCCTCTCAGCGGGAACCTCAAGTAAGCACCAGTCGTGTTAAGATGGTTCAAATTGATGATCTCACACCTTTATCTTCGCAGATTCTCCAACTCGCGCATCGAGATCGACTTCATCTCTGCAGTGGTTCGCCTCGACCACAAGTACGAGCTCAAGGGTCTCTACGACCAGGCCATGAGCTACCTCACCACCTACTACACCACCAACTTCAACACCTGGGCCGACGGCAAGAACGCCTCCGACTGGTCCCCGGACCCGATCCAGGCGATCACCGCGATCAACCTCGCCCGGCTCACCAACACGCCCTCCATCCTCCCCACCGCCTTCTACATCCTCTGCACGCTCGGGCCCGAAATCGCGCTCGGCGCGCGCCGCGCGGACGGCACGAAGGAGCAGCTCTCTCCGGGCGACCTGTTCCAGCTGCTGAGCATGAAGGAGAAGCTCTGCGCGGCGAACATGAACACCGCGTACGCGCTCTTCCGCACCCAGAGCTCGGGCCACTGCAGCAACGCGGGCGGGTACTCGTGCTGCGCCGACGTCATCCGCAAGGTGCTCGACGCCGCGGGGCAGGGCAAGGGCCCGCACGCGCTCGCGTCCGCGTGCGCGCTCGACGGCTGGATGGAGAACGTGGAGGCGTACGCGGCGACGGCGCCGCCGCCGCCGCCGCAGCACGTGAACGCGTACATGATGATGTACACCCAGAGCCAGCGCGCGCTGTGCAAGGGCTGCCGGACGTACCTCCAGTCGCGCGAGCGGGAGCTGCGCCGGGGCGTGTGGAGGAAGCTGCCGGAGTACGCGGGGGTCACGGTGGCCAACTGGGACGCATGAGCGGATTTTTAATTTGGTACGTTGCATCGAGATCGCTTTCCGGCTTTCCTGCTGACAGTCTTTGCAGGACTTTGTCATTGTAACGGACCTCCCTGGGGGATATCATCATCATCACCTGTGTATTCTTTATGTGTTTCAAATACAAGTTTGTCATACCCGCGAGATGCCATCGCGCGCCTTGATCAAGTACAGACTTCTCCGGGCCCGAAGACGTTGTGTACGCAATGAGGCTGACTTTCAAGGTGTTCAAAAACCAAGCTTTTTTCCTTGACGTCTACCCAGAATGCCTTCATACGCCATCGTCGGAGCATCCCGCGGGATAGGGCTCGAGTACGTGCGCCAACTCGTAAGTGCTCCCATCTGCTGCGTTCGATCCAGTGAGTGGCGACACTCCAACCCAGGCGTCTCGCGAAGACTCTCTTGTGTTCGCCATTGTCCGCAATGTCAACACCGCTACGCGCCTACAAGCAGCGGTACAAGGAACCAAAAACGTTCATGTGCTCGAGGCGGACGTCGCGGACTACAAGTCTCTGAGTGTAAGCGTCACTCAGGCGATTGGGCCGTCTATCTGACTCTCCGCTCCAAGGATGCCGCGCAAGTAGCTTCCGCGGTGTCCGGTGGTTTGCTCGACTGCCTCATCCACAACGCCGCAAGGATGGAGGAAGACTCGGTCCACAAGAGCTTCGATTCCTTGTACGCACCTTGGCGCACTCCACGAAGACACCGCTGGCTGACTTATCCCCCAGCGCGACCATGGATGAGCTCGATGCGGACTTCACCGAATCCGTGCGTCCGCTCCTGCCCTCACTCTCTCCGTCGCCTGACGCCCTGCAGTTCAAGGTGAACGCGCTCGGGTCGATCCACGCCATCCAAGCGTTCCTCCCTCTCCTCCGCGCGTCGACCACGAAGAAGATCGTCGTCATCAGCACGGCCGCCGTGGATCCCAAGTTCGTGCGCGCGATCCGCTCGGATCGCCTCGTCGCGTACGGGATGACCAAGTCCGCGGCGCTCATCGCGACGACCAAGTGGGCGGTGAAGCTCGCGGACGAGGGCTTCACCGTTGTATCGCTCAGCCCGGGCGTGGTCGACGTCTCTTCCTCCATGGGAGACGGCGAAGGTGTGTGATTCACCGACTATTTTGACGTCGAGGCTGATAACGTTTTCAGGAGGAGTGAAATACCAAGCCTGGCTGGCTGAGATGGCGAGCACATTCACGGACGCGGGGTTTGCGGACATGGAGATGCAGTCTGTGGATCAGTCTGTACGCGCGCAGCTGAAGGTGATCGACGGGATGACGGTAGCGGATAACGGGAAGTTCCTCGCTCATACGGGAGCGCAATGGCCGGGTCTTTGAACCGCTAGAGGCCCACTTCTATAGTGCATAGAACATAATGTTAAACCGTCTTCTCCGTGCGTCTCTTAACAACGCAAGTGACGCTTCACTACGCGCGTTCCCGCCACTGCAATAGCGCCTCGAACCGTGTATCTCCGGATCCCTCCCTCACGATGCGCGACCCATATCGGCACAGCGACGAATCCCGGCGTCTCAAGGCCTTGTCAAGGCGAACAGATCGTACGACCGAGGAGACATTACATGTCTCGGGCTGAATACCTATATGGTACGTGGGCAAAAAACTACACAATCTAGGCCGTATCATGATCTTTCAGCGAAGTGCAAGCCTCCTGCCAGCCGTCGACCTCAACCCCCATGATCTCGGGGAGCTCCTTCCACGTACGCGTGAGCCTCACCTCGTCGTCCCAACTCCTCCACCGCAGCGAGCAGATCTGACAGAGCCTCGGCGCCCACAACTCCGCGGCGGGACCCCACTTTGCTTCTTACCGCCACTGTCAACAAACTTCCCACGCTCGACCTCATACGGGGGAACGTCGAGCGTGCCTTCCTCTTACTTCTCGAGTACGTAGTCTACAAAAGGGCGACTCTGGGCAATACATACGGTCGAGAATGGGATCCAAACAGGACCCGGGGCTGCAGAAACGAACTACGGAACCAAGGACGGGCGCTCCGCCTGCCAGCACGGCGAGACCAGCTTCCCGGCTTCTCCGCGGAAGTCCGCCGAGAGAGGTAGTAATCGACGAACACCTGACGATAGTAGACGGTGAACAAGCTACGGAATTCCTAGAGCGACACAGTGTCATCCCAGAAGGCCAACCCCCGAGTCGCGAAGCCCTCATCGCCGGGCTCTTCAAGTGTGCGGCCGACACGAAGGGAGCCACTACCAAGGCGTGCATCGCGTCCTTGGCTCACTACGCGAAACTGGTACTCGACAAGGAAACAAACGCAATGCTGGCAAAAGCGCTGACAGAAAGGGTGGCGGAGGACCTAACGGCAAGAATGGACGGCTTCGCAATGGATGCGGTGAGGGAGCTCAAGATCACGAAAGAGAGACTGGAGGATGCGGCGCAAGAGCTGGAAGAGGAGACGACGAAACTCAAGGAAGTAAGGGAGACCCTGGCTAAGGGAAGTGAAACGGTGGCAGCGGTGGAATGGCCGTCGCTGCAAACAGGTGCGTACATCCCCAAGAACACATACACTGGGGTCGGGACAGCCCCAGCGGCGTCGGTCCCACTACCCCCGGCCCTCTCGGCGGCACGCGACGGGGCGTCCGTTATGGACCGGCAGATCATGGTCCGGGGACTCTCTCTGTCCAAGTCGGGAGGGGCCAAGACGAGAGAGGTGGAGATCATTGCGCGCGCGGGGGCCGCAATGGAGGGGCTGGCGAAGAAGGGGATCGTGCCGCCCCCAGAGATTGCCGTGAAGTTTACGGCGGTGACGATACAAGAAAGGGGGGATGTGGTCTTGATGACCTCCACAACGGAGGCTGCGCGATGGCTTCGCGAGGTCTCCTCCGAGCCCTTCGCGCACATCAGGAAAAAGCGCTCCGCGCGAGAGCCCCGGCCCGGACTCGGGATCGCACGCTTGTTGCCAGTGATAGCCGGGAGAGCGCTCGAGCGCTCGAGCGTAATGACTGATGATACCGAGGTCGCCCGAGCAGCGGCGAGCACCACGGTGAGCTCGCGAGCTCTCCAGAGTTGCAGTGACTGCTCACGACACCTTGAGAGCCGCAGCTGGCTCCTACCGAGCTCTCGCGTGCCTGAGTGACGCCACGAGAGGACAGTCGAGATGACCTTGGCGCACGGGATACCCCAGGAGTTCGGTGAAAATCTTTATTTACAGTGTGCACAGTGGTTGTACTACTACCTACACAATACTAACAGAAGACACATACGCCACCGCTTCCTGGGTTGAGGCGTACAGGAGCAAACTCCCGCGAGAGCTTGCCACCATGCGCGAGGAGCACTGGCAGAACGCCGCGTTGCTCGAAACGCGCTCCACGGAGCTCCTCGCAGCCCAGGTCTTCCTCACCCGCGCGGACGACGTCATATACGGCAATGTCGCGCGCATAGTTACATACCTGTGTCTTCCAGATCGCCGCCGTGGCTGCAGATGCGGCCCAGAGCCGCTGTGGGGCGGGGGAGGATGAGGATGAGGACACCTGCATCAAGTTGATGTCTGCGGGAGGGCTGGGCCGAAACATCGTGGATGTTCTGGACACTAGTGACAACGTGCCAGTCGAAGTCGCACTCCAGCGCGTCATGACTATGTATGCCTGCCGCCTGTGCTTGATGCGGGGTTGAACGGGTGAGGAGGAGCTTGAGGAGGCCCACGCGAGTATAAAAACGCAAGGTACGCACATCATCTGGTCTCTGCGCCCTCCAGTCCTAGTCTTCCTGCTCCAGGTGGTCGCCGGCTGCTTTTCCGAACTGGCCTCCGCGGGCTGCGCGAGACCGAGGATGGGGAGAGTGGCGAGGGGGCCGCCGGATTTTTGCACGCATTCACCGCAGTTCTCCGCACGTGTGGGGTGGGCCAAACTCCAACGCGCTCCAGATCTTCATCCGCCTTATGTTCGAGTTCCGGCGCGCGGTAGGCGAAGCGATGGTTTCGCGCAACTTCTCAGTGGTCTCTGTGGGCGCGCTGGAAGCATTCAACGAGGCGGGAATGAAGGATGCGTGGAAGGGTCGAAAAAAAAGAGGCAGGCCTGAGCGAGGTCGAGATAACGCACTCGTTCAGCGCTGCAGCGCGATACTCTCGTGTGGATATGGTAGCTGCTTCCCACGCACTGACCAGTCGCCCAGCGCGCCTCTTGCGCTCTGCCAGCTGGCGTGGACTTCATCTCTTTCTTCTTCGCCCATCTCCACCTCGTTTTCTCGCACCTTCGCGTCCTGTGATTATTTGTGAGTGAGCCATCCGACATATTGTGCTATACATGCATTATCTGACGACCACTATCCGCTCACGCCTGCGGCCACTGCTTGGCAACTGCCCCACAGTCGTACGCCATCACAGTGTACCACTGTTCCCACCGCTTACCTCAGATGTGTTCCCTGCCCTTAAAGTCGAGTAGGTGGAGAATGGACAGTGGTACGTCGTGGCTATTGTGACCATGCGTGGAGCTGACGAATTTCATGTGCGTTGCAAGACCGTCAAGCTCTTCCTCCCCCGCTTCTCCACCTGGCTCTTCTGGAGCCCCCTGTTTCGAAGCCGATGCTCATGGTTTGCCCTGCGCCCCATTCCACCTGCTGTATTGTGAGTTCCGCCATCCACTTTGATGGTAACTGTGCGCTGACCACCGGCTTGCGGACTTTGCAAACTCTCCGTGCTCGGCCCCACGCCCCAGTTCTCTACCAGGACACCGTTCTCCTCCTCCGTGAGCGCGGCGGAAGCAAGACCCCACTTGTCAACCCCTCCACCACTTCTATCGCCGACCACCCGTCGAGCATCCCGCGCTTCTCTCCATCTGCCCTCGTGGAGCTCGACGCGCTCGCTGCCGCACGTCCGCTGGACGAGTGGGTGCTTGGCTCGGTGCGCCTCCACGACGTCGCCATTCTCGGTTGTTGCCACGTCGTGTGGTGGGTCGACCCATGTATTGTAGATACGGAGAGCGGGACTGTATTAGTATACCTACTTCAATATATTTTGTTTCAAACGCATACCTAGCAGCGAACAGAAATAGATCCGGGATGTGAATAATATCGGGAGTGCATATCATGCTCAAGAAGCCTCTCGAGCACTCTCGAGACGAAACTCGAAGCTACTCGGGAGTGCTCACCGAGCTGCCGGCTGTGTCTCCCGAGCGCCCGCGAGGCGCCCTGCCAAGCTCGCGTGCCTCGAGAGAGGGGGACTTGTCACGCCGTGCTCGAACTGCTCTCGAGCCTCGGGTGCACTCCCGAGACAGGTCGTTTTTTCCTGATGGAGGATGACGCCAAGGAAGCGGTGGTGCGGTGCGGCCGGAATGAGGAAGTCGTCTCGTCGAAGGCGGCCGCGTCGTAGACGGAGTGGGGGCCCCACGCCCGCCCCGCTGCGACGCGTGAAGTTGAGGACACCGAATTTGTCCACGGAGAACTCCGAGTTGTGGTCCCGCGACCACTGGAAGCCCCCTCCCGCCCTGGTCATCACCTCATCCAACCTGTCGTGCGCACCATCTCCTCCCTCGTCCTCGAAGTCGTCCCCTTCGGCTAGCACGTAGACGTCGTCCATACACCCGGGGGACAGCTCCCGGTTGTCGATGATTGCGGTGTTGACGAGGTCGGAATTGTAGAAGATGTAGAAGATGACGGAGCCCGAGCATCCCTGATCGATCCCGCTCTCAATCGGGAAGGGGTCCGATGTGAAATCGTCGAAGACCATGGTGGTTGTGCGTCCCGCTAGCTTCACCCGCAACCTTTCGACATACTCCTCGGGGACGCCACGCATGCGCATGTTGTGGTAGAGGCGCTCGGGGGAAGCTGCTGGGTACGCAGACTTGATGTCTAGGAAGAGCGCAGAGATCACCTTCCCCCGTCGCCATGCGTCCTTCACCTTCTTTGTGAGCAGGTGGAGCGAGTCGGAGGTCATCCTCCCTGGCCTGCCCCCAAACTGGTAGTTCGCCACGAGTCCCCGTGTCTCTGCCTCGTATCGCAGGACGTCGGCAACGCATTTTGTAAGGAGCTTTGAGATGCAGTTGAGGAGGGCGATTGGACGCCAAGCCTTCGGCAAGGCGTAGTCGGACTTTCCGGGCTTCTTCAGTACGACAGTGATCGACTCGCGCCACCTCTGGGGATAGTAATTGAGGTCGAAGGTCGCCTGGAAGAGCGGGAGGAGGAAGGGGATCAGAGCATCGGCACAGTTCTTGTACACCTCGTTCGGGATGCCGTCAGGGCCCGCTGCTTTGTATGAGTGCGTGGCGTCAATCGCGTGGCGGAGCTGCTCCCGGGTGATCGAACGGTACTTGAACTTGGGGGGAGGGTAGGGTTCCGGGAGCGACGGTGGCGGAGCGGGGGGAAGGAAGAAGGTCTTGTGGAACACCGCCGCCTTCTCCTCGTTGGTGTGGAGCAGGCAGGGGGCTCCGTCGGCTGAAGTGGACTTGAGCGACGGGACACGTGGAGCGCTACCGTCCGTGATGCCCTTGCGCAGGTAACGATTTGCGATCCAGATGGTGTCCGCATCTATGCCGCTGATCCACGTCGTCCAGTGCTCCCGCTTTGCCAACCGGATGCGATCCGTGTAGCGGTTCCGGAATCGGTGGTACTCCGTTGTTGCGGGGTGGTTTGCCTTCCCCCTGTGCTTGTGAGCCTTGCGCGAGAGACGCTCCTTCTCTTTGCGCATCTCCTCGAGCTCCTTTGACCACCAGCGCCGCACGTAGGGTTGCTCCTTTGTGAGAGGGACGCACTCCTCAATGGTTGCCGAGATGGCCCCTAGGGTGTCGTCTAGTGCCGCCTCAAAGTCCGTTGACGAGCAGATCGGGCTGGGCGTCTGGAGACACCCCAGCCGCTCTCGGAGTGCGCCCTCGAATTCCGGCCAGATGACGTCCCGGAAGTTGCGGCGAGGCGGCCTCTCGACAAGGGTGAGAGGAATGTCAAAGGTTGTCACAATGGGGTAGTGGTCAGTCTTCGGGGGTCGCAGTCGGGGGATAACCTCGCATGAGAGCAGGACGCTGAAGAGGTCGTCGGAGCAGAAGACATTGTCTGGGCGGGTGTGGTTCTTCGTGCGCGACGCCTCCAGCGTTGGGACGCCTTGCGGGAGGGCTTGGACCATGCCAACGTCAGCTATCACCTTGAGAAGGGTTTCGGCGCGCTCTAGATTGGGCGAGGTGAAGAGGTGCCGATTGCGCTCTTCATCCCAGTGCGGGTGGTGGCGGTTGAAGTCTCCCAGCCAGACGAAGGAGTGGCTGCGCTTGTCTCCCGACTGCCGGACCTCGCGTGCGATCTTGGCGACAGCTTGACGGGCTGACCGAATGGCGGAGTCTGACTGCTGTGAGACATAGAGGTTGAAGAGGTGGGTGACTCGGTCGCCTGTCGTGATCGAGATGGCAGAGACGTCGGCGTGGGTGACAGGAAGACGAGTCCAGGTGTTGGTGGAGAGTCGTTGGTTGACAAGAATGAGAGAGCGCATGCGTGCCGAGTTGTCGGGGTCTGGGACAGCTGGGTACTCAACCTTCCATTTGCTCACGACGGAGGTCTTTCCCGGGGAGATTAGGTGGGGTTCTTGAAGAGCGATAATGTCGAATTCGGAGATCTTGGGATGGTTCAGGAGTTCGGTTTGGGCGTCGCCGGCTTTGTTCACGTTGAGTTGGAGGATGCGGAGTCGGTGCGTGGAGGAGCTTGGTTGGGTTGTACCGTTCATGGGGACAGAGGTTGGTTAGAGGGTGTCGGCTGTTCGCGGCGGAGGGCTAGGTCAGCGGAGTCCACGCCCGCCTGGTCAGTCAGTCTCGTTTGCCAGAGGCGCCGTCGTTCCTGCTGGGACGGACGCGGGTGTCTCCATCCTCGAGGGCAGGCTGAACTGCCTCCTGCCAGAGCGAGGGGGAAGGTCGTTTCCCACGAGCGAAGGAGCGGCTGAGCTCCCAGGAGGCCGGGTCTTGGGTCACAAAGAAACGGTACCCCGACCCGACCTTGCGTTCATAGAGTCGGTCTGCCCGCCCTCGGTACTCCGGGCAGGTCCGATCCCAAGCCACATGGTTTCCTCCACAGTTGACGCATTTCCACCTCGTCACATCCATCTTGTTCGGGCAGCCATCTGTCGCGTGCGTCTCCGAGGCACAACGACCGCACGTCTCCGTGGGCTTGCCGCAATTGCGTGCAAGGTGCCCGTAAGTGTGACACTTGTGGCAGCGAAGTGGCTCCTCCGAGAGCTTTCTCACTTTGCTTCGCCTGCCAGCTATCACAAACTCCGCAATGGCTGCATTAGCTGCAGCCGCCGACGTGAACACCACCCGTAGCATCGCAATCGTCTGCCCCTCCCATCGTTTCTCGGGGGCCTTCATCCACGCAGCCCCCGCAATGCTCCCGCGCGCAAGCCCGTTCTCCTCCTCTAGTCCCCTCAGCGCCACCTCGTCGTTCGGGTCGAACTCCGTCGGTACGCCCCCCACTACTAGTGGGTATGTGCGCTGAACCACAGACGCTCCACCCTGTAGCTCCTGCATCAGGAAAAAACGACCTGTCTCGGGAGTGCACCCGAGGCTCGAGAGCAGTTCGAGCACGGCGTGACAAGTCCCCCTCTCTCGAGGCACGCGAGCTTGGCAGGGCGCCTCGCGGGCGCTCGGGAGACACAGCCGGCAGCTCGGTGAGCACTCCCGAGTAGCTTCGAGTTTCGTCTCGAGAGTGCTCGAGAGGCTTCTTGAGCATGATATGCACTCCCGATATTATTCACATCCCGGATCTATTTCTGTTCGCTGCTAGGTATGCGTTTGAAACAAAATATATTGAAGTAGGTATACTAATACAGTCCCGCTCTCCGTATCTACAATACATGGGTCGACCCACCACACGACGTGGCAACAACCGAGAATGGCGACGTCGTGGAGGCGCACCGAGCCAAGCACCCACTCGTCCAGCGGACGTGCGGCAGCGAGCGCGTCGAGCTCCACGAGGGCAGATGGAGAGAAGCGCGGGATGCTCGACGGGTGGTCGGCGATAGAAGTGGTGGAGGGGTTGACAAGTGGGGTCTTGCTTCCGCCGCGCTCACGGAGGAGGAGAACGGTGTCCTGGTAGAGAACTGGGGCGTGGGGCCGAGCACGGAGAGTTTGCAAAGTCCGCAAGCCGGTGGTCAGCGCACAGTTACCATCAAAGTGGATGGCGGAACTCACAATACAGCAGGTGGAATGGGGCGCAGGGCAAACCATGAGCATCGGCTTCGAAACAGGGGGCTCCAGAAGAGCCAGGTGGAGAAGCGGGGGAGGAAGAGCTTGACGGTCTTGCAACGCACATGAAATTCGTCAGCTCCACGCATGGTCACAATAGCCACGACGTACCACTGTCCATTCTCCACCTACTCGACTTTAAGGGCAGGGAACACATCTGAGGTAAGCGGTGGGAACAGTGGTACACTGTGATGGCGTACGACTGTGGGGCAGTTGCCAAGCAGTGGCCGCAGGCGTGAGCGGATAGTGGTCGTCAGATAATGCATGTATAGCACAATATGTCGGATGGCTCACTCACAAATGAGCAGCAGTGAATCGCTAGGAGCACCTGTTGCCATAGCCCATCGGCAGCTACAGGTGCACCCATTGATCCGTGATGCGCGCCCGTGTAGACGCGCCTCGCTGGGCGTGGCGCGCATCAACGCGTGGCTGTGATGCATGCCACGCGTCCCTCCCCTTCGCCGTCCTTGCTCTCCTCCTCCTCCTCCTCCACTACACCCTCGCCGCTTCCATCCTCCCGCTCAGCCCGGGCGGATGATAGCGACCATACGGTCGACTGTCATCTGCTATTGGACTCCGATGTCACCAGGTGACACCGACCTTCCCCCCTCTGACCTCCCTCGACCTCCCTCGACCTCAACCTCAGTCCCGCCCTTTGCCCACCTTGCCAGCCGCGCTCACAACGTCAAGAGCGCACGAGGACGTCCATCCGGACGTCCTCAGCATGGAGATTGGAATGCGGGGCCGCGGCGATGTACCGTGGCCCCTGCTTTGGTGAGTCCTCCGCTACTATGCCCTCTTGCATTCCCAACGCCCACCTGCCGCTCCTACAACAGGCCGAGGACGTCCGCCCGGACGTCCTCCTCCTCTCAGCCTTCCTCCTCGCCCTCCTCCGCGCCGTCCTCCTCCTCCGTGCTGCCCTGCGCCGCCACCCTCCTCCTCACCCTACTCCACCCGCGCCTGCCGCCTCCTTCGAGCCCCCCGCCTCCTTCGCGCCACCCTCCTCTCCTGCGCCGCCCGCCCTCGTCGCCCTCCTCTGTGCAGCTCACCTCCACGTCACCCACCTCCGCGCCGCCTCGTCCGCCCTCGTCGCCCGCCTCCTCCACCTCACCTCCGCCTGCGTCGCCATGCTCCTCCGCGGTGTTGCGGCACCCACCATCACGTCATCTTGGCCGTCGCCTCGCCCCACCCCCCCGCCTTACCCTCCTCCGCCTGCTCCGCATCGCCCTCCTCCGCGCGTCCCAGCCCTCCGCGTCCGCGCCGCCTGCGTCGCCCATCTGCGCCCACGCAACCCTCCATCTCTGCGTCCTGCGTCCCCGCGTCGCCCACCTTCGCTCACCCGCCTTTGCGTCCCCCGCCGCCACGCCGCCCGTCGCCACGTCGCCCTGTTCCGCGCCCACATCCTCGCCCTCCTCCACGCCTACCTCCTCCGCGCCTGCCTCGCCGCGTTACCCTTCTCCGCCCACCTCACGTCCGCCCGTGCCTCACCCGCGTCCTCCCGCCTGCCTGGCCCGCGTCTTCCTGCCTGCCTGCCTCCTCCGCACCTGCCTGGCCCGCCTCCTCCATGCCCGCTTCACCCCCTCGCCGCGTCGCCTGCGCCCGCGTCGCTCTCATCCTCCCGCATCACCCGCCCGCGTCGCCCGCCCGCACTCACCTCCACCTCTGCCTCCCTGTGTAGTAGTTTATTGATAAATATATTTTGATCACTAATATATACGAAGTGTGATGTGAAACAAAGCGGTGGTGAGCTCACTGTCGGAGACGGTGAGCTCAGGTGGCAGGGCCTGAGGCGCCGGTGTCCGGACGTCTCGGGGCAGTGTCGCGCCCGTGTGGCGGGCGGCTGCGTGAGCACGGGGGATGCAACCGGGCCGGCCGGATCAGCAGGTGCATCCGCACCTGCCGATAGGCTATGGCAATGGATGCACCTGACGATTCACCACTGTAGCACAAATAATCACAGGACGCGAAGGTGCGAGAAAACGAGGTGGAGATGGGCGAAGAAGAAAGAGATGAAGTCCACGCCAGCTGGCAGAGCGCAAGAGGCGCGCTGGGCGACTGGTCAGTGCGTGGGAAGCAGCTACCATATCCACACGAGAGTATCGCGCTGCAGCGCTGAACGAGTGCGTTATCTCGACCTCGCTCAGGCCTGCCTCTTTTTTTTCGACCCTTCCACGCATCCTTCATTCCCGCCTCGTTGAATGCTTCCAGCGCGCCCACAGAGACCACTGAGAAGTTGCGCGAAACCATCGCTTCGCCTACCGCGCGCCGGAACTCGAACATAAGGCGGATGAAGATCTGGAGCGCGTTGGAGTTTGGCCCACCCCACACGTGCGGAGAACTGCGGTGAATGCGTGCAAAAATCCGGCGGCCCCCTCGCCACTCTCCCCATCCTCGGTCTCGCGCAGCCCGCGGAGGCCAGTTCGGAAAAGCAGCCGGCGACCACCTGGAGCAGGAAGACTAGGACTGGAGGCGCAGAGACCAGATGATGTGCGTACCTTGCGTTTTTATACTCGCGTGGGCCTCCTCAAGCTCCTCCTCACCCGTTCAACCCCGCATCAAGCACAGGCGGCAGGCATACATAGTCATGACGCGCTGGAGTGCGACTTCGACTGGCACGTTGTCACTAGTGTCCAGAACATCCACGATGTTTCGGCCCAGCCCTCCCGCAGACATCAACTTGATGCAGGTGTCCTCATCCTCATCCTCCCCCGCCCCACAGCGGCTCTGGGCCGCATCTGCAGCCACGGCGGCGATCTGGAAGACACAGGTATGTAACTATGCGCGCGACATTGCCGTATATGACGTCGTCCGCGCGGGTGAGGAAGACCTGGGCTGCGAGGAGCTCCGTGGAGCGCGTTTCGAGCAACGCGGCGTTCTGCCAGTGCTCCTCGCGCATGGTGGCAAGCTCTCGCGGGAGTTTGCTCCTGTACGCCTCAACCCAGGAAGCGGTGGCGTATGTGTCTTCTGTTAGTATTGTGTAGGTAGTAGTACAACCACTGTGCACACTGTAAATAAAGATTTTCACCGAACTCCTGGGGTATCCCGTGCGCCAAGGTCATCTCGACTGTCCTCTCGTGGCGTCACTCAGGCACGCGAGAGCTCGGTAGGAGCCAGCTGCGGCTCTCAAGGTGTCGTGAGCAGTCACTGCAACTCTGGAGAGCTCGCGAGCTCACCGTGGTGCTCGCCGCTGCTCGGGCGACCTCGGTATCATCAGTCATTACGCTCGAGCGCTCGAGCGCTCTCCCGGCTATCACTGGCAACAAGCGTGCGATCCCGAGTCCGGGCCGGGGCTCTCGCGCGGAGCGCTTTTTCCTGATGTCGACCCTCGCCTCTCCTTCTCCTTCCACCTTGCCATGGTCATCGCAAAAGGGGCTGCGCTCCTCAACCTCTTCCGCCGCCTCGCCAAAGCCCGGTACGGATTCACGCCGGAGATGATGCGCCGGCTCTACCTCTGCGCAGTTCTCCCCGCCCTTCTCTACGCTCTCGACGTCTGGTTTACCCCCATTAGGGCGGTGGGCTGGAAGACGACACGACACGGCTCGGTGGGTATGGCGGAGGAGCTGGGCAAGATCCACCGTCGCTTCCTGCTCTTGATGACGGGAGGCATGCGGTCAACCCCGACAGCGGCGATGGAAGCCCACATGGATATTCTCCCGTTCCCTCTTCTTGCTGATCTCTTTTGCCACCGTGCTGCAGTGCGACTACGTACACTCCCCTCCTCACACCCACTCTACACCCCCGTCAGACTAGCTACAAGCCGATACATTAAACGCCACAGAACCCCCCTTTACGAGCTCTTCGACGCGTACACTGATCACCTTCCAGACAGAGACTCCATGGAGACCATCACCCCCGTCCGTCACCACCCTCGGTGGCGGGCGCATCATAGGATCAGCGTCAAGACGTCGAAGAAGGAGGCGACAAAGGACGAGGAACGGTGGGCCGCGCGCTCCGGCATTCGAGTCTACTCGGACGGTTCCGAGGTCGACGGCGGAGTGGGGGCGGCCGCAGTGCTGATTGTCCCAGGCAAACGCCCACGCATCCTCCGATACTTCCTCGGCCCCTCGCACACACACACAGTCCCGGAGGCGGAGGCGGTCGGCACCATCCTCGCCCTCGCCCTAATCCGCCAGGTCTGTCACCATGAGAAGCGCGCGTCGATCGCACTCGACGCGAAGGGGACGGTCGAGTCCTCCCTCAAGTCTGACTCTGGTGCGGGGAAGTACTTGCACGACATTTTTCATGCGGATTGGAGAGCACTACGAGCACGACACCCGTCACTTCGCCTCACGCTACGGTGGGTCCCCGGCCACGTCAATATCGAGGGCAACGAACTCGCCGACGAGGCGGCAAAAGAAGCAGCTGGGGGCCGCGCGTCACCCGAAAAACACCTCCCTCCCTCCCTTCACGAGCCCCTACCCGTCAGTTCGTCAAAGACGAAGCAGGTGTTTCGTGACCACCTCAAGGAGAAGGCGACGAAGGCATGGAAGGCGACGAAACGCGGCGCAGCGATGCAAACTGTGGACAAGTCCCTACCGTCCCGGTCCTTCCTCAAACTCATCAAACACCTCCCGCGCCGCCACGCGGTCGCACTCTTCCAGCTACGCACCGGCCACATCGCACTCAGAAAGCATCTCGCCACTACCACCCGGAAGGGCGGCGCCGCATGTCCCGTTTGCACAGAGGCGGATGAATCCGTCCGGCATTTCCTTCTGGAATGCCGTGCCTTCGAGCCGTGCCGCGCCATCCACTTCGCCCCGCTCGGCCGCAATGGGCGCACCCTCAAAAAACTGCTCGGCACACCGGAGGGCCTCATCCCCCTCTTCGGCTACCTGGAGGAGACGGAGCGCCTCCGCACGGTCTTTGGATCCCTCGCTCCACCGGAAACCCTGGCCGAGGCCCTCGAGGCGGAGAAGAAAAAGGAGGAGGCCGCTGCCGAACGGCGCTGATCCCGATGGTCTCCCAAGGTAGGAGCATCCCGTCCACCGGCTTCGGCCCCCACTCTCCCCGAAGGTGTCCGCGTCGTTGAGCTCCCCCCTCCCCCTCCCATCCTCTCCCGGCTCACGCAGGCCATCTCTTTTCACCTCTCTCTATGCTCCTATCATCTCCTCCCTCGATACTCTTTCTATCTACTTCTCTCTACTATGTACTATGCCCCCACCTCTTCGTCTCTGTCCCTGCATCACGGTCCCGCTCTCATACTGTACATATGATACTTACCTTACACACATCTCAACCGGCTGCCCTCCGCAAGGGGCCCATCCTAGGCTAGCGCGGGTATCGCCCCCGCATCTCTCCCGCCCCCCGGGGCATCTGTGTAGTTGATGTCTGCCCCCCGAGTCGTGAACCCAGCCTGATCGCGTAGATTTAGACTTTGTACTGTACGCCTACCATAGGGCTCTGCCCTCGAGGGCGTTAAACGAGGACGACAAAAAAAAAAAAAAAAAAAAAACTCCGCGGCGTTCACCAAACTCGGGATCGCCTCCGCCCACGGCCTGAGGTCCGAGGTCTCGTACCGCGCCTCCTTCCCGAAATACACCTCCCATATGTGCTTCATGGCGGCCTTACACTGCTCCCGCGAGAAGCACACGCGCGACAAGTCCGGCCTCGACCCCTGGACGCCCGGGTGCTCGCCGACGAGGTAGAGGGTGATCGCGCGGAGGCGGCGGCTGTCGCGGCGGAGGAGCTCGGCGCGGCCGTCGAGCGCACGGACGACGTCGGCGTCGGCGAGGCGGACGACGGTGCCGTCCGTACGGGTGTGGCCGTGGACGACGCGCGGGCCGAGCGCGGAGCAGTGCATGAGCGCGGTGGGGAGGAGCGCGTGGGCGTCGGTGAGGCGAGCGAGGAGCACGGCGTCGATCGCGTGCGAGGGGGTCGCGGCGAGAATGTTATCCGCGCGGGCCGTCCAGGAAATGTAGCGGGTGGTGTAGTATCCCCTGAGAACGGCAAGGGCGTCCTCGAGGATGTCGTCCATCTGATACTTGTGCGCGAGGCGGATGACGGCGGAGATGTGATCGAAGGAGACGGATTGGGGAGCAGGGGTGACTTGTCGCCCTTGTCTACGAGCGTATCAGCAGATAAGGATGCATTTGAACATGGATTTACGCACACCATGGGCTTGTTGAAAACGACTTGGAGCAGATGTCGCAGATCGTGGGCCGAGTCAGAGAGGTGGACGACAGGGACTCCATGGAGAGAAGGAGCTGTAGAAGGTGCCGGAAAAGCGAGCATCTCCCGGAAGACGTGAGAGAAGCGTGCCAAAAGGCCGTGATAGACTTTGAAAGCAAGGATACCGCTGCTCTCGATTAGAACAACGGTTCCGTCGGAGTACCAGAACTCTTCGTCCTTCGCTGAGGGCAAGCAGCTAGCAGTAATACTGGAGTCCGTGGAAGGGTCGAAGACCGAGTGGGTGGGGCTGTCGCTGTCGCACATGGTGGTAGGAAGAAATGTTGGGTCGCTCCCCAGATGCATGCAGAAGCCTCCTCGTCAAGCGGTAGAACGGAGAACATGACGGTGCGGAAAAGGGGCCTGCGCGCCAATTGAGCCTTGGCCTCGCAGAGCTCGGAGGGAAGCGGCCCGAACGAGCAGTGGGAACCCCTTCGATGAAGTGCGGCGGCGACGTTATCGATCTAGAACAGAGGCTTTTCTTGCTGTGATCGACGGTTTGCGAGTGATGGGTCCTTAAACACGGGAAGCGTGGCTTGCGCGCCGGAGTCGCAGACCGAGGCAGTCACAAGATGAAAAGTACGAGTTTGAGGTGGCGGTGTGCTGCGACCATGACGCAACTACAGAGGTCGTACCTCGAGCATAGCGCGGACGCACGAAGTCACGCGGGAAATCAATTGCCAATAAGGGACCACCGGTTCCTGATGCTAATAACCGGTGACTACTGCGCGAAGTCTCGGGCGACAGACTTGATGAAGGCAATTTGCTGAGCGCGGTACGTGTCGGGAACGACCGCAAAGTTCGCGAAGGAGAAGTTCCCGAACGTGGTCGTGTCGAACTGGACGATGTTCTGCAGTGGCGGGGTCAGATGACTTCGGAATATGTGGGTGGACGATATCAGATGCGAACCTGAGCACCGTGCTTGTACCGTGGCCACGTCGTGCCTACAGGAGAGAAATTAACTCGCTGCGAGACCACCAGACAGGAACGACGAACGTGGGGTGCCCTTCCCGTCGTTCGGCGTCAGACTCGTCACAAATGAGAGCCAGTAGTCGAGCATGGCCGAACTCAGGAGCTGAATGTCAACGTTCGAACTCTCGAGCTTCTCCTCGCCATAGACGTAGGGGACCTCCGCCTTGTGAGCGACTAGAAAAATGGTTAGTCGAGCCCATGAGCCAACCGAGGGGCGGAAGACTCACCTCCCAAGCTCGGGTTGGCAAGGGCCGTGTTCTCGTCCATGAACAGATACCCAAATGTCGACACCCCGAACCCGCTGGCCGCCTGGATCCATGTCCG